GTTTTACACTGTTTAGTCTTTAGATGAGGACATACCTGGTGTGTGTGGTGGGGGGGGGGGGCGGGGGGGGTAGTCTCATCCAAGCACTTGGCTCTATCCCAAATAGGAACAATGCCAGTTGTCTCTGCAAGGATCGTGCCTCCACTGCCCCAAAGTCCGTTCTTTAGGGTGAGCTTCCCAGGGCTGCAGTGGCAGAGAAAACAAATGGAGAGGTTGGAAATATTCATGGTGCATGGTTGTGAGCCCCACCCAGGCCTCCCTCCACGTGACTGGGGAGTGTCTTCACCTGAGCCCAGAATGTCGACCACTGTGCGACTGTGAGCTACCTGGGGCAGGTTCTAAGTTGAACACAGACTTTCTGGGAGGTTTTTCAGTAGAGTCAGGAGCATCCCTTCACCAGCTGTGCAGCTGGTACAGCGTGTTAATAATTCGGTCTGTCTGTGGGCACCTGCCCGGAGGCTTCTTCAGCTGACTTAGGACAGTGTGAAAGAGCTAAGTTTCCTTTGTCACCTCCACCAGAAGAGCAGAGCTGCTGCGTCTTTTGTAAGAGCAAAGTCTCTGGTCAGCTTCTATCCACTTGCAGCCTCGGGCCACCTCGTTCCCATTGACCAAATACTGTGATCACGAGTGTAGAATTGTAAGAGCTGTTTTTGGCAAATTCAGGGCTACTCAGTCCCTGTATATGGGGTCCACGGCACAGAGGGGCAGAAACAACACAACAGAAACAGATTATACAGGAATTCAGAAAGGTCAATGATTTATCCCTGTGATGGCTGGCTTTACAGGTCATCTTGGCTAAGCTCTGGTACCCTAATTGCTCAATTAAATAGCAATCTGGATGTTACCATTTGGGCTTTTTTTGTAGATGTGGTTAACATTTTTCAATTTGTTGTTTTTCTTTTTTTAATTTTTTTAATTATTATTATTTTGTGTGAACCGTCAAATCAGATCTGACTGTGCAGGAGGAGATTGTCCCTTCTCCTTCAGCAGAGCAGGTGGATTTGAACCTTGCACCTCTGGGACTGCAGTGCAGCTTCTTGCCACTAGGCCACCAGAGCTCATCAATTTGTTGCTTTTCCATAGAGAATATTCTCAGTGTGTGTGAGCCTTGTTTCATTCTGCTTGGGGGGAGAGAAGGGACCTATATAAGTTATCATCCTTGTCACTCCTGACCCAGGCTCCACAGCTTCCCAGTATCATTTCCTCTCTTTCATAACCTTCAGCCTATCTTGTTTCAGTCCTTGTGACTTTGCCTGTTCTTTCTTCCTTGATTACTTTCCTAACCTGATGTGCCTGTAACACTCCTATTCACTCTTCAAAACCCAATTCAGATGTATCTCCCCTAGGAAATTTTCATTGACATGCTCCATATAGGTCTTATTTAGTTTATTACAATTGATCTAGTTAACTCTGTATTCCCAGAGTTAGTAAGGGGATCTGATGAAGAATAAGAATTTGGTAAATATGTCTGCTAATAAACCCAGTAAAAGAGAACTCTAGTGTCTTAATGGGAGGAATCTGCGTTCAATCCCCAAGGCACGCAGTTCGCAACTGCTTAGCTGCTCCACAAGAGAAGGATGGGCAATCTCCTCCTGCGTGATTACCACCCCAGAAAACCCGCTGGAGGGTCAGCTATGGTTCAGTTCTGACTCGATGATATGAAAGAACAACAAACCCAGTAAAACTCAGCCCTTTATCGAGAGCATCAATTGTTTATGGGTTTTAATTTCTACACTTCTCATAGCTAGACCCTAGAGAGGAAAAAATACATAAATAAATAAACATCCCTTCTGCTGATCGTGAAGGACATTCTAAGGACTGTATGAGGAGTTAAAGGGATTTGAAACAGTCTCTCAAAACCAAATCTTATTTCTAAGAGAAAGCACCCTTGAAAATCTGCCTTAAGCAAGTAACTTTCAAAGGTCTTTGAACGTGAATACTTTTTTATGTTGAAATGCAGTAAACTCTACATATATTTAAATTTTTCAGAGACAAAGCTTTCAAGAATTTACTCTTTATGTACTGTAAGGGATTCTGGTGGCTTAGTGGTAAGGAGTTGCACTGCTAACTCAAAAGCAAGTGGTTCGAATCCACCTGCTGCTTTGGAATAAAGATGAAGTCTCTTCCTGCACAATGTACAGCCGAGCTCAGGGGGTGTAGAGAGTTAAACTAATACCCCAAGACTGAGCTTCTCTAGTAGGATGAAACTACAGCAACTCTTTGGGGACAAAAAGATGAAATCTGAAATCTATTCTCTTGAGATGTATAGCCTGAGAAACCCAGTAGAGGGTCAGCTGTGAGTTGGTTCTGACTCAATAGCAATTAATTGAATTGAGGGATGCTGTAAGGAGCCCTCAAAACAACAACAACACAAACAAACAAACAAACAAACAAAAACCCCAACCCCAACACACTGTAAAAAGAACAAGGGCCACATGGGACAGTCATACATATCTGACCATTACTAATTTCACAAAGGGGCATTGTCCCTGCCAACAGCATCAATAATACAAAACCAAGGAGCTCTGGTGGCCTAGTGGCAAAAAGCTGTGCTGCAATCCTGAAGGTATGCGGTTCGAATCCGTCAGATACGCCACAGGAGAAGGATGAGCAGTCTCCTCCTGTGCCAGTCGGATCTGACTCAATGGCACTCAACAACAACAATAAAAATAAAATAAAGTGTCACTAAAAAAATAATAATACAAAACCAATTCCCATGAGGTCAAACATGTCCCCACACTCTCATAACTCTTTTTACTCATGTAAACACCAATCTTATTGCTTTGCTGGGTCCAAAATCCAATGTGATAACTTACAGACCACACAGAACCATATTGGGGAAGGCAAAAGGTTATAAACCAGATTAATAAGAGAATATAAGTCAAGACAGCTCCTGAAATGTGCACGCAGGCACCTCAGCCTTGCGCCTATCAGCTTGCTGTTTCCAAATTCTCCGTCCTGCCAATATTGGCCACCCACCCCAAGTTGCTTGAAAAAGTTCTCAGTCCTGTCAATATTGGCTGCCTACCCCCTGGTACTCATTTCATGTCAGGTCTCCACTTCAGCTGTAGGTGTTGCTGCTGTAGGTGTAGCTAGAAAGGGAAGGGGGTCCTTCACTGTCTTGATTCTCCTTCAATGGCACCAGAAGATTTGTCTTTGTGGCTAGATCTGCTCAGTTTACTGGTGAGACTAGCCAATCCCCTTGCAGATTGTTAAAACTGGCTAAGTTCCTTGTGGATAGTCTAACACTCCCCATTTTGCATATTCCTGCCCATCTATACAGCATCCTCTCTCCTCAATATAACAATTACTTCAGCATAAAACAAACAATCTTCTGGCTAGGAAAGACAATTTTGAATAATAAACCTCAGAAACCCAGAGAAAGAGAACAAAACCACAACTTTAAAAAAGGAAACCCTAGTGATCTAGTGGTAGGGACTTGCACTGCCAACACAAAGATAGCTGGTTCAAGCCCACTAGGTGTTCGTAGAGAAAGAGATGGAACCAGTCCTAGAAGAGGGACGTCATGCTTAGAAGGTTGGAGGGACAGCACAGGAGATGAGATGGATTGATACAGTAACTGGGGCAGTGGGGGTGGTTGTGTTGGAATCAGTGAGGCTAACTCAGGACAGGACAAGCTTCAGAGAGTCACTATGTACATAGAGTCACTATGAGTCGCAGATGACTTGACAGCATATAACAGCAACAATCTCCACTCTTGCAATTTATAGTCTTTGAAAACTTGCTGGAGGGTCAGCGGTTCCATCCTGGGGGTAATGGGTAAATTTGAGCAAAGAGCCCTGATAGAATAGTGCATGACATACATGCAGCTAACTGAAAAGTTAAGGACCTCTGATAGAATAGTGCATGATGTACATGCAGCTAACTAAAAAGTTAGGGACGTCTGTTGGCCTAGTGCATGATGTACATACTGCTAACTGATAAGTTAGGGACCTCTGATGGCCTAGTGAGTAAGGAGTTGCTGCCAACCCAAAGGCAGGTGGTTTGAATCCAAGAGCAGCTCCGTAGCAGAAAGATGGACACTCTTCCCTTGTGATTTACATACAGCCTCTGAAAACCCACTAGAGGATCAGCTATAGGTCAAGTCCAACTCAACAGTAGTGAGTGTGAGTTCTTCTAATGAAAAGCTCAGCAGTTTGAACCCACCAACCACTGATGAGAGGACGATGTGCAGTCTCCTCCCGTAAAGACGGAGGATCGCTGTGACTCAGAGGCCCTGAAGGATGCCATCCACTGTGGACAGCAGTGGGTTTGATTGGATTTTTTTCTGTTGGTTTCTTTTTATGGACATTGCGTTCCATTTTTCTTTCTTTTTTGTAGAAATCGCTGGTCCCCATCACTGAACTGACTTCCCAACTCTCAAATCTACCAGGTTTCCATTTGAAAACTCCTGCTTTAGGCCTTCAGCTGGCATGTTGGTAGTTCTGTGGTAGAATTCTCATCTTCCGTATAAGAGACTTCGGTCTCTCATACACACCCCTGAAGGTCATTCGGTGGAGGTCTGTGTTGCTATAATATTAAACAGGTTCCAGCAGAGCATCTGGACTGAAATGGACCTCAAAGATAGGCCTAGTAGTCGCCTTTCAAAAATCAGTCAATGACCACAACTGCCCTGATCTGCAAACAACTGGGTAACATTGCCTTCTGTTGTCCATGGCATCTCGTGAATTAGGGTGACATGGCGGTAGCGAACAAGGCCTTCTGTTGATGCAATCAGGAAAGAGACCCTGGGTCTTGAAACTGGGGCTCAGTGCAGGGAGAAGTGTAGGGGCTGTTGTGAGTGGTGGTCGTGGTTGTTTGGTGTTGTCGAGTTGAGTATGACTCTTAGTGACCCTACAAGTAACAACAGATCTGAACCCTGTCCTGTTCTGTGCCGTCCTCACAATCTCTGACACGCTTGAGCCCCTTGTGGGTGGGGAGAGGGGTTGAAAAAGTAATAGAGAGACCACAAGATGCTCACCCATTCCCTCTCATTGCAGCGGAGCCCCTGCCTCTGATGGACCTGTGCCGAAGATCGATCCGCACCTCCCTGGGCCGTGGACGACTGTGTGACATCAGCTCCCTGCCTCTGCCTCAGTCTCTCAAGAACTACCTTCAGTACCAGTAAGCCAGGGGTAGCTGCGTGGCGGCGGGTGTCCCCAGCGGCCAGCCCGCCTTCTCAGGTTCACCCAGCACTTTCAGGAAGGAGCCTTCCCTCACCCCACTTGCCCCAGGACGCTCCATTCTGTTCCTCGAGAGGGCAGGATGTGTTCCCAACGTGGAAAGGAAAGATCTGTTGCCAACAGTATTTGCTGCCTTCAAAGCAGCCCGCCCAAGACACCTCGGTGGAAGTCTGCACTGGACCCCAGAGATCTACTCGTCCACCGGGACACGGCAGCCACGCTGTGTTGATCAGAGTCTATTTCCTTATTCAAAGGAATGAATAAAACATTTGGGCAAGAAACTTTTCTCTTGTGTGCCTCCAGGCACACAGGGTGAAGGACAGACTGGCCAGAGCAAGAGAAAATCGCCTTTGGATAGTGACCGACCTGAGTTTCTCAGCAGGGCATTGGGACGGTCATATCATGGTAGGACGTTGCAGTTCCCTGAAGGACTGTTATCCATGACTGGAAAGTGGACAAGCCTGTTTTTAGATACTGCCCAGCTTACCTCTTCAAATATGCCTCCGTCCCAGGCCATCCTTCTCCCAACCCACAGTTCTCTGGATGTTCCAGACCCAGACCCCTCTGTTCAGGGGAAGAGAAGTCTGATTAATTCACCCGAGAGATAGAATGAATGTATCCGTTCTTATTCTTTTAAGCAGAGTTTTCTTTTTTTTTTCAAAGCTGGTGTGGTGAGGCTGGTACTTATTCCAAAGGTGCTAATGGGGGGATTTGGGGCATTATCACTCCCAGATTGGGGGTGTTCTTGGCCTGGAGAGTGAGAGGGTCTCGGGGGCAGCCACTCATTCAGGGTACAGCTCGGCTGTTTCAGCTTTATTCGTGTGAATTCTATTTTTCTCTTCCTGAGACTTCTACATGTTTTGTTCCCATGTCAAATGTGTGTGTGATGTGACGATGTGATATTTATCAGCTCAGGCCCTCGAAGGCAGCCTTGTAACTGGAAGGGTGAATGTGGGAGACTTGTTCATTGACTGTTTGGCATCTCTTGAGTGTTTGGGGCACTGTCTGTCCAGACTCCTTTTTAACTGGAAATAGTCTTAACGGTGGGATACCAGTGCCCCAGCCTGCCTTCCCCACTTTAATGTGAATTTGATGTAGACATTTCTAATAAAGTTTGTCATTCAGACCTTCAGCTGTTTGTGAGATGCTCTTTGGGGAAGGGTCGTCTGACTGGTCCATCCCAGAACGCACAAGAAGACGTGAGTATGAATCCAGCTCCAGCCATCTCATCTTCTCTGTCTCATGGTCCATCCCCAAGCTGTAGCCACTGCAAAGGCCCATTTGGAAGCATGAATGCACTGGCTCCACGCAAAACTGGCTGTGATGGTAGAAAAACACCTCAAACTCCTGGTACCCAGGTCTTGATTCTACAATGGGAGCTCATGGGAGTTGAGAAGGGGATATGGGACCAGGAGAGCAAACCCAGTGGGGACACCTGTTTCAGAGTAGATCTGGAGGTGGCATTGAGTGGAACTGTGACAAGTGTGTGTTGTTACCAAGGAACCACCCATGGGCTGAAAGGTGAGAGGTTTGAGTGGTGGGTGGAAGTAAGTCAGGTATCAGAGTGCAGGCTGAGGTCTTGGCCAGGACTGACACAACTTTCACTCAAAATATACTGACTACACCCATGCATTGCGCTGGCTGATGGGAACCCAGCACTCGGGCAAATGTGGTCCCTTCACAAGGGAAACAGGTACATTGGAGCATAAGGAAGTGAGGGGCTCTTGACCAGGAGAGGAGAAACATATAGGACATGAAAGGCAGACTTCCTGGAAAAAGCAGTTCTCCCTAGATCTAATTTAAGGGAGAACAGCCTTAGAGAAGACAGACCAAAATGGCACAACCAGCTCTCCCCATGCAACATCATGATGGATAGAGACTAAAACTGTCAACATCTTCATCAGACTTGGATCCACAATTAACACACTTGGTGTCAGCAGTCAGGAAATTAGGCGATGCATTGAACTGGGAAAGTCTGCAGTTAGGGACCTTCAAATTATTGAGCAGTAATAACGTCAGTTTGGGGACTAAAGTGCATCTTGATTCAGGCTATAGTCTTTCCAATCACTTACTAGGCATATAAGAGCTGAACAATGAATAGAGATGACAGAAGAATTGATGCCTTTGAGCTATGATGTTAGAGAAGAACACTGAACATACCATGGATGCCAAAAGAATAAACTAATGTATCTTGGAGAGGGAGCAGCCAGAGTGCTCTTTAGAGGCTAGGACGATGAGGCTTCTGCACACATGCTTCGGGCGTGTTGCTAGGAGGAGCTATTCCTTGGAGAAGGACATGATGCTTGAAGGGTGGAAGGATGGTGAAGGAGAGGGAGAACCTCAATCAGGTGGATTGACACTGTGACTGCTGCAATGGGCTCTAATGTTTCAGAAAGTGTGAGGATTCCACAGGGTAAGACAAGGTTCAGATTTGTTGTTCATAGGGTCGCAATGAGTCCTACTCTTTTGATGGCATCTAACAACAACCACCCTTCCCACCCTCAGGGGCAGGGCTCTTCCTCTGCTCTGAGCTTGGGCCTGGCAGCTGGGCTTAATTTGGCAGTCTCGGGTCCTTTAGTTGCAGGAAGCATCTTTATATGAAGACCCTTCCTCAGACAATGGGGTCTAGAGGCCTGGATTGAGCCCTGGCATCGTCACTCCTAAGTGGAGTGGCCTTTGGAAAGCCATTTCCTCCTGTGCTTTCAGCATGGACAGACTGAGTGGGCAGTGGCTGAGTACCTTTCCACCCCTGACTCACAGTGTCTTAGCTCAACACCACTTCTCCAGCTTGGATACATCCTTCTCATTTTGGCTTTGACATCTTATGCTGTTTCTCTCACTCCAAGAATGCCTTTCCCAGAGGCCCTGAATAAGCAAAGCACTCATTAAAAAGAGAGACAAGGTTGGAGGCATCTCACTCCCTGATTTCAAATCCTACTACACTGCCGTGGTGAAGACAGCATGGTACTAGTACAATGACAGACACACAGAACAATGGAATAGAATTGAGAATCCAGAAATCAGCTCATCTACCTGTGGTCAACTGATTTTTGACAAGGAAATGAAATCAGTTAAGTGGAGAAATGACAGCCTTTTTAACAAATGGTGCAGGCAAAGTTGGAAAATCATCTGCAAAAAACTCAAGAAAGTCCCACACCTCACTCTATACACAAAAACCAATTCAAAGTGGATCAAGGACCTATGACTAAAACCAAGGACTATAAACTTCATTAGAAAAAAAGCTTGGAAGAACTCTAAAAGCCCTAATCCACAACATAAACAGTCTTCCAAGCACATCCTTATAAAACTAGAACCAGGAAAGGATAAAATAGATGAATGGGAACTTCTAAGAATAAAATCCCTATGCACATACAAAAAAAAAAACCAAACAAAAACCCCAACTCCAAAAGGGTAAAAAGGGAAGCCACAGACTGGGAAAAATATTTGGCAATGACATGTCAAATAAGGGACTTATATCTAGAATTTATAAAATTCTTGAGTGCCACAACAAGACAAAGGTAATTAATCCAATTGAAAAACGGCCGCAAAATATGAACAGACACTTCACCAAGGAAGACATTCAGATGGCCAACAAACACATGAAGAAGTGTTCAAAATCCCTAGCTCTAAGAAAGATGCAAATAAAAACAATTATGAGATATCATCTCACCCCAGTAAGAATAGTAAAATTTAACAGAACAGCAAGCAACAAATGCTTGTGAGGTTGCAGAGAAACTGCAACCCTTATTCACTGTTGGTGGGAGTGTAAAATGGTGCAACCACTGTGGAAGGTGGTATAGCACTTTCTCAAAAAGTTGCAAATAGAGATACCATTTGACCCAGAAATTCCACTACTGTGAATATACCCCAAAGAAACCAGAACTGCCACTCAAGTAGATAGATACACACCCATGTTTATTGCTGCTTTGTTCACAATAGTGAAGCGTTGGAAACAACCTAAGTGCCCATCAACAAACGAATGGATAGAGAAGCCATGATACATTCATACAATGGAATACTATGCAGCACTGAAAAACAAGAAACTCATAAAATATTATACAAAATGGGTGACCCTGGAGGACATTATGCTGAGTGAAATATCTCAGTCACGAAAAGACAAATATGACATAATGCCACTGTTATAGAACAGGACTGACATAGGGGCTAGGGAGTAGGCGAAACTAAGAAAAGAGGGGATAAATAATCTGCGTGGCATTGAAACAGACAAGGGAGAGAACTGTATAAAAGGAATATATGATTAGGTATTATTGGCATGAAAAGAGTCCAGAATAAGAGCTGTCTTGGGGGGGGGGGAAACCCAAGTTCTTTATAAACTTTCATTAAAATCTCAAATTTTTTTGGAAAAAAGAAAAAAGAATGCCTTTCCTATCCTCATTTCATGCTCGACAGTCCTTGGTTTAGACAGTCCTCATCCCAGAAGTCCTCCTTCAGCACCTGTATAAGCCTGTTCCTGATCTAAGCAGCCAGCTTCTCCGCTGTTGCTGCAGTTGTCCCTCCTGGCAACCCAGTATCCTCCCCCAAACACTACACTAGTCCCAGTGACTGTGACTCTCAGGAGAGCAGGCTTCACACTTAGTGCAGACCTGACACGGGCTCAGCACAGACCAACGAGGGTGAAAGACTCTGTATAGCTGGGATGCTGACAGGAAATGCCAAGGGATGGAGGGCAGGAGAGGTCCTGTCGAGAACGATCAAAGGAGAGGGAACCAGATATTTAAAGTGGAATTGAGGACTTCCCAAACTGAGGAAATCATAAAACCTCTTCAAAGCAGGAGCTTTTGATGCTCCAGCCAGCCGAGGGCTCAAGAGAGCCAAGTGCAGCCACTCTGGCCCAAGTTCTAGTTCAATGCCTTTGTGTATATATATATGTAACTCTGGGGTTCTGTGGGTATCAGTGCCCACATTCCAGCCTATACCCCTCACT